TTTTTTTTTTTTAGCAGATTTACTCGCATCATCTCTTCCATTCGACTCATTTTGTCATATTTATCTTCACAGACTACAACCAACACAACGCAGGTCACATGACCCAAGACAAGTGCTTTGTTTACACTGAGTGCGTACCTGCGTTTCAGAACTGCACATCAATATTTCTGGAAATCTACTGGCCTATGTGATATAGCTCAGGATAGTCTTTGTTGCATTTGATTCTAAAGTGTGTAATAAGTTCATTTAAGAGCTTTGGACTAGTTTTTGACTCAGCGGTTTGAATCTCCATTTCTCTAAATCGAGGCTCAAAGATTGATCTGCTACAGGTAAGATATTTGTTCATGACGTTCCAAAGAAGTCCACTTGTAAAGAGCTGAAGTGTCACTTTAACACTGTTCACAGCCGTGTTTATAATGAACTGTATTTAATCAAATGTACACGCAGGTTAGCAGCATGACGCATCTCTTGAACCTTCCTGACAGAACAGTGAATGAGGCCGGGGCCGCTCCACTGACTCAGGAAGAAGAAAAAAGTTGGCACTTGGTGACGTATTTCAAATAGTTCCTGTTGTGGAATGTGTTGCCCGCTGAAGGCCGTCCACGCAGCGAGTTTTAGCCCGTGACTCGTGTTTTACGATGACCGCAGGTTTCCCAACACTTTGTTGTTAGCTAACCCTGCTAAGCTAAAGCTGTGCAGCGCGAGCGATCATGGACTTTTTATTTTCTGTCGCGGGCAGCGGCGCGAGAGTTGTCAGAGAGGCCATTTCTCACAGACTCTGGTCCGGACCTGGACAGGAGTCCGTCCAAGAGTCCGTCGTGATTCAGCAGGACCCCCCTGAAACAAGTCAGGACCGAGAGAACACCCACCACAGCAGGACAGGTCGGTCCAGCTAACTCGAGTCCACACTTTGGGGGCTGGGGGGAGGAGAGCATGCGCTCAACTTCTCCAGCGCTGCGCAGAACTTCGTTTAAAAACCGTCCGATTTAAGGTTCATCTGCACCGGTGGCCGTTTTCTTCCTTTGATATAAACTGATTATTATCAGACAACTTTTTTAAACTTCCCTTTAACATTTCGGCGGTGTTCTGTTTACTGTGCGCGTTTAATTTCACACTAAATCCGAAGCAGGAGGGTGGTGTGATGCGAAATGCTGTTTAGAAAACGCAGCAGTTTTCACTTTTCTCCGTTTTTCACCAAACACGTCTTGTATTTTAAAAGATATCTGACGGTTCAGTGATGCTGATTTGTTATTCTTAGATTCGGCGTTCAGCCATGTCGTCATACCGTTATGAACACGTGTCTGTGCTGTGGACACATGGAAAAAGTGTCCAGCTGACTGTCAGCTGATTGTTACTGTTTAATTTCTTCGTTGCATTCGAGTTATTAGAGGATGAGTGGTGCAAAGTAGCCATTAGGAAAAAAGAAGAAGAACAACCAAACCTCAGTTAAAACTCAGATTTAGTCACTTCCTTTTCAACACGAGGACAGATTACATTAGACCAGATGTAGTTGAAGCACTTTTGGCTTTTGCTATAAACCAAAACTAAATATAATTAAAGCCCAGCATAAAGCAGGTTTACCATTAAATGCAATGCTAAAGAGCCACAAAAACAACGTGACCCTTAAAACGAGGAATACATTCATTATTAAGTTTCCTCCATAGTTTAAGTTGCAGGTGACAGGTTTTTTTTGTATTAAGAAAATAAAAAGTTTTATTCAGGACAAGCTCACCATTCTATATAATTGAGCTGAGCTATTTCAGTTCTTCGCACATTTGTAAAAAAAAAAAAAA